GAAAGAGAAGGAGGGGAGGGAGGGACATTTCCCAGCTTTAACATGCTCAGATAACATGCCTAAGTTCCCCTATTTTGAGAAAGCCACTACCTTCTTCTGGAGCCCAGGCAAGAAAGAAAATTATACGACTCATGCCCTTGGTAGCTATAAGAATATATGCCAAGATGGGCATTATCAAGGGAACTCTGCGTCTCCAGGACTGTGGAGCCCAACACACAAGAAATAAAGCCACTGGCTGGGCCAGATAGGGATTGCTCTTGTTATTTTTATTTACTGATTCAGGTTTATTTAAAACTTTTTCTTATGTGGAAATATCCTCTGTCCTTAAGGACCAACAGAGCTGCTATTCTTGTCCTTCTGTAGTAACTGTCATCTGCAAATTTGAATTTCAATGCCTTCTCTTACCATAACTTCACATGTCTAGTTGGAATTACATGTTCCTTATTCTCTTCCCACTTCAAATCCAAAGATCTGCAAACAAGCAAAATATTTGACCTTTAATATGCCTTCACAAAATATGAGGACCTGGGAGCTGGTTAGTATTTCTGGAAGTTTTCTGGAAGAAACCACAAGGTCTGTGTTCTGTCCAACCATTCCACGCAAGGTTAAGTGATTTTCAAGACCCAGAAGACCTCCATCAGGAGATGGGAGCACAGGGGGTGTCCACATGGGACTTCACTCTACATTTGAATCAACTTGATAACTGAGCCCCAATTCAAAGGCACTACTAAGATACAGGATGTTTTGCCTCCATGTGGGATGGTGCCACCACAGGAAGGGATAAACATACCCATCTGTGCTAGGCTGCCTACAACAGCACAAGATGGATGTTCAGGCATCTGAATAGGAGCAGCTTCTAGCTGACTCAGGGCCAGGCTGAGCCAGTTGACACATACATGCCAAATATCATGAGGTCCTTTGAGGACTGCACAACACAGGGCAAAGTGAGTTCCCTAACAAGGAACAAGAGATTGTTTTGTAGTTTCTTAATTAGGGTCAAATCCACCCTTCCTTCAAAAGTATGCGCAAGCAGGGAGAACACAGGAGCCAGCCAGAGAAGGAGCAAAGGCTTTTCCTTCATTTATCCTCACATTCAACTGTCCATCAGCTTCAGCATTAGCAGTTTTGCAATAGGAACACAGCACTTCAAGCTTACACAGGCAGTAAGGCGTTGCCTTTGTGGAACTGGCTGGTAGGTCTGTGCACAGACCACCTATTTTGGTTACCTTTCTCCTTGCTCAGGTGGATCCAGCTCTGCCAGATGGAAGGGCAGAGGCAACCAGTTCTGTTGCTGGAGTGGTTTACGGTGACACCAAGCTAATGGGTTGAATCAGCATAACTCTGAATATAGCATAACCCCAAGTGCAGTTTCTCACCTTGGAACTTTCCCAAATGGGCCAGAAAAATATATCATCACTGTGTCTTTCCTGAAAAAGAGATCCAAGCCAACGTTAGGGCACAGGTGGAAGGATGCCATTTCTTTAGTAGAGGTGCTCAGTAAGGACCAATGCCTGGATGCTAAAGAGGGCCTTGACATCTGCCATGCTAGCACATTGCCACAGGAGAACAATCAAGCAACCATGTGGCAAGAGCGCAGCAGGACACTCCACTTGTTGAACTGGGACTGCAGTACAGACAAGAGAGTAACACAGTTAAGAAGACTGGACTGGGATTTTTTTTTTGCAAGACCAGCAGTTTGTTGGAAAGAGGTTCAGTAGAAACTCCATTCCAGCAAGAAAAACAAGAAAAAGCTGTATGCAATTTGACTTCCTTTGAGTTACACCAAGGATTAATTTGGCCTGTTAAACTTACAACCATAAGAGCTAGGATTTAAAAATTCTACCCTTTCACTCTCATCCTGGACCTATGAAAACACCAAAACCTGTAATTTAAAGGAACATAGAACTAGACGTACTTAAATCAGTAAACTTAGCTGATATATAGCAAATTTATGTTAGCTAGTACAGAATTTCCTGGTTGATATATTGCAGAGCTTAAAAGCAAGTTTAAATTCTGTTATATAAGAAGAAATATTACACCCTGCAAATCAATTTATAGACTAAGGATAAAATGACCTATTAAAAAGCTACAAAGGGAAAGTCCATAATACGATGAATTCAAATTTTGTTTCAAACAGAAAACAAAAAGGATTAAAATTAATTTTTGTTGACTTTGGCCAACAATTAAGCTGTAAAACAGTGTCCATTTAAAAAGTCAGCATATAAAGAGACAACATATTTGTTTTTATAACAGCTTTTATGCATTGATACCTGACACGCAGTTCAGTAGCATTTTGACATGCGATGACTTCCTTTGCCAAAATGAGAACAATGTTCAAGGAAAGACTGTTGTTGCTTAGGCTGTGAACATGAGGAAGAACACAACTTCAGCTGCTGGACCCAACAGCACGCTCTTTTGTTACACAAATGCCCCCTGCTCTGCACCCAAACACCCTGAAGCACACATTCTTTTAGTTAGGGGATTTCTCCAAAACTTCAGAATTTTGCATTTAAGACCCAACAAAAGCATTATCAGATCATACTTCTTCTTTGCAAGCTATAGCTCCCATGAATTTAGAATCAGAGATACTTCCTCTATGTGCAACAGAAGATTCATTAACCATTTTTCGCTTATGTAGGGAATGTACTTCATAGCTGTATGATTACACCACCAGCCCACAGTGCAGTTAAACTCTTGCTATAACAAATCCAATTTAAGTATGGCATATTAGTGTGGTCTAAACCCTCACATTTAAAATATCCCCAAAGACACAACATTAGCAACCTCTAAAGATTTATTCTTTAATTGCATGTTTATTCTCTTTCATTACTTGGTGAACCTCATTGAATATGAAACATAAGGTCTTGCTTCTACGAATCCTCTGCTTGTTCTCAGGGCCACAGAGCACCATCCCTGTGAGCCTCAAAGGAATCATCCATGACACCACTACTGTATGTGTGTAATAGAAATGTGTGAAGGAGTGAGGCTTACACTGGGGACATGCTGGTATTTCCCACAAGCTGTTATCCAATGTGCCCAGGAAAGCAGAGGAGCAGGTACATTCCTCCCTCTTTCCAACATGCTTTTCTAATCATACTGCAAAACCAGTAATTAATTCTGGGGTGGGGTCCAGCAATAACTGCAGGTATTTTGGGTTCACCTGCTTGCGCCCAGGGGTATGTGGAAGATGTTTAAAGGCAGAGTCACTCCCTTTTAACTGGGGTGGGCAGGCAGTGCTGTGGCTTTGCCTTCCCGCAGGGGCAGCACAGCTTTGTGGCTACCCCTCTCCTGTAATGCAAACTACACCGATACTCCAACACTTGCAGCAGCTCTGCTCTGCTCTACTTTGCCTGCTGCTGCTTGAACTGCCCCTGTTAGCTATTCAAAGGCTTTAAATCCCTTCACAAATCAGGCTTGTTCTCTCCCCCTAAAAAGATGCAGATCCATGTTGGGAGTTTTCCTAGCGGTCAGTCCCTCTCATTCAGCACTGTGCTGTTACAGGAGTGTTAGAAGGAAGAGCACAGGAGAAGTGGGCTAACAAAAAGGCTGGGAAGACAGGGATGGAGCCATTTTCTCTTACGCAAAGGTGAGGCATCTCAATCTGAGCCTGACCAAGGGGAAGAGAGGTGAGGAGGCAGAAGAAGAAAAAGTCATGCCAGGCACCGAACTGAGCGCATGCACTCTGATTCCTGGAGAGGTGTCAGTGTTGCCAGGACTCCCTTGAGATTATTTTAAAACACCTGGGTAAGAACTGTGAAGCTGAGTCTATCTCAAACTGAGCCAAGCCTCCAGCACAGCCCTGCTTGCACTTAAATGTCCGTGCCTCAGCTTAGTGCCCCACACGTCTGTCCCTCGCTGGCATCTCTAAGAGCGAGCATCACCCCTTACAGAGACATCCAGCAACTCTGCTCTGACGAGGATTTAAACTGTCTCTGATGCTATGCTTTGGCTTCATAGTGGCTACCACTTCTAATAGGTTTAAGCCATTTTTACTCACTCTATTTTCTTCAGCTTTTCCATTCTGGAAAACAGGTCCATCATCCTCTTCACCTCTGGATCCCGTATCCGATTGTCCTGCAAGCTGCACAGAGATCCATTCTCATTAGTACCCCAGGCTCACAAGGAATGAGTGGTTGATTTGAGGGGCATTGCCACAACACACTCACTTTATTTCCTCAAGCTGGAGGCACTGTGATGAAGCCTGGACCAAGTTAGTCATCCCCTTAGCTGTGATGCTCCCGCCTGTCAATCTGAAAAAAGAAAGAATCATTCAAGCCAAGCAGAGGAAGGACTAGCATCCCATGCAGTGCATGGCAAGCCTGTCTCAGATGTGGGCCTGCACCGTACTCCCAGCACACCAACACAGAGAAGAAGTGGCCTGACTCTGCCACCTGCAACCAACTTTATACTCCTGTTCAACCAGGGCAATGCAATACTTCTCTTGATACCAGTATAAAACAAGAGCCACACATATCCGTGCTGCTCTGCATAGCACTGCGTTATTCTCTATACAGTGCTGCACAGAGCAGATCAGCCTTGAGTGAGCAGATGTAATTAAACCGCAAGACAGAAACAGAGGACGGATAGAAAGAGAGAAGGCTCTGACCTTACAAGCAAAGACTTACTCTAGTTTCTTCAGGCTCCCCATTCCTTGTAAGCTCTTTGAAAGAGCAGCAACAAAGTCATCACCACATCTCCTACTACGAAAGCTAAAATATGAAGAAAAGGGAAAAAACATAAACACAACAAAAACCGAAATAAGCTAGTCTACAGAGCAGGTTAAAACACAATTAAAAAAAAATGTTGAATTTCTTGCTTAACAGCCATTGTATCATGCTCTTTTTTGCAGCATCTTTATCTTTTCAAACATCTGTTTTAAAAAAAAAAAACAGACATTACACTTGCATATCAACTGCAAATACCTCAAGAGGCAGCTTCTGCCTTTTGGTACAGTGACACCATGTGTAAGTGCTGCCACAGATGAAGAGTCAGCCTTATTGCATGTCTCCCCAGAGTCAGGACCCTGGAGACAAGGAAGGTCAAACCGGGGCAAACCAAACTCATACAAGCAGGGAGTGTCTAACAGCTCCCATGTGATGAGTTGCTGAGTTACAAGAGGCTTGATTTCAAGCCAGATACTTTAAATTTGGGCGGCAGAGTAGCCAGAGTTGTCCAAAATATAGATGACAAAAGGTTTTTAGGAAAAGTACCTCTTTTATAGAAGGAACTGGTGGTGTTGGAAAAAACAAACAGACAAACAGGTAAGTTTTCAGGCACACAAGCTCTCCTTTGAATCAGTTGCAGAATGTACTGATTATGGGATGTATTGGTACAAAGCACCCTGGGTTGCATGTCTCCCACAGTGTGTTTGGGGGCCATGAGAGTGAAACCCACCTATGGCCCTGCTGCCCTAAGTGCCCCTGCCACCTTCCCCTAAACCAGAGGGAGTCAAGAACAAGCTGCAGATGTGCGGTGGCATGATGGACATGGCCCACGGTTATTAGGAACATGCCTGAGGGAATGCTGTTTCTTCAGACAGGTTCTGTACAAGCAACATGCAGCTGAAATGCTTGGGGTCCCACTGCCATTTGCCCACCCTTCCAAGAGACAGTACACAGAGTGCTAGTGTCCTGCAGACCATAAACGAAAGCAGGCACAGACTTGAGTGCCTACGAGCTGAGAAGAACCCCCCAAAATCCCCTGTTCTGTTCTCCTGATGCAAGGGCACAGCCCAACCATCCTCAGGCATCTGCCTAATCTGCTCTTTGAAAGCAGAGGACTCTGTGCACTGCCCTGTGCCTGCATTAGCAATTTAGAGCTAGGATGTATCACCAGAAAGCTTTTCTAACAGTAAATTAAATGGTATCCTTATTCTTCTTAATGGAGGCAGAGAACAATCCATTATTGTCCTTTTTACAATGATATCAATATCCAGGAAGAACAGTTTTCATGTCTCTGTTTCTGCTCCTCTGCTTCACAGTAGACAACATTATTCCCTTCAGGTCAAGGTAATTCTCACCCTGGCTGCTGCCCATCTTCTCCACATTAGCAAACTCTACACATATTCCTCTAAGTCATTGACAGAAATACAGAATGCGACCCATTCCGCAACAGGATCCCAAGAGATCCTCCTTGAAAACTCCTTCCAGCATTACAGCAAAACACTGATAGAGAGCATCTCAGAGTGCAGTTATCACCTCCTGTTCATCTGGTTTATAGTGATTTCACTTAGTTCACAACTTTCTCAATTGCTTGCAGGATTTGCCCTGCCTTTGTCTTGTCAAGAAATGCCTATCATTTTCTCTCCTATCTAGTACACTAACTAACTACCCTGTTGTTTGTTTTAATCAAAACAAAGAAACATACAAAAAATACAGCCAGAATGGATTTATCACCTTAATATCCTTCAATCACTCATAAATTAATTATTTCATAAATTTCTTCAGTATCAAAGTTACGCTGTTCAGATCAGAATTTCTCACATCTTCTTTCTCCCCCTTCTCAAACAAATACTAGGCTTGCCCTTCCAACCCCTTAGCCCTTCTCTCCACCCACCAGCTCATAGCACTCAGCGTGTTTACCTCAAGTGCTCCACATTTTTACAGCTGGCCAGAACCTCCAAACAGTCAATATCCATGACACATCCTGAAAAATCCAAATGAGTCAAATTCTGGCCCGAGTTTATGACAAAAACCAAAGCCGACATGTCCAGAGGTGTCAGTCTAAAATTTTTAAACTCGTACTTGAAATTCAGCAGGCTCCCGATGTGCTGGGCTACTTTGAGGTCTTGTGTTTCAAATGTGCAATGGCAGAGCTCAGTGACTTTAGGTCCTGTCAGATGAGTGGCTGCCAGTTTCTTGAGAGACTGCAGGATTGCGTCCTGCTTATCTTGCACCCAACCTGCATCTTGTTCAGCCAGCAGCATGAGAAATGTCCTACATTCTTTTGACGACAAGCCTGAGAGAAAGATGTGAAAACTCTCCATGAACTCAGTCTTTGCCTCATTCTTTGAAGTCCACTTTGACTTCAAAGAGAACTTCTTCTTCAAGTAGTTCTTGTCCACCTTCTTACTTACCATGAGACACAGTGCTGCAAAAAACTCCTGCAAGCTCAAGTGCACAAAGGCATAGCCAGTCTCTGGGCAAGTGCCACTCGTCTTCACCTCAAAGACAGTCAGCAATCCATGTAAGGAAGCAAATTCCTTCAGGTGCTCTGGAATATCACCAACATAAAATACAACCTTCTTATCTTCCAGGCCTTTCAGTGCAAGATCACACAGACCCAAAATGGCCTTCTTGTTACAGTTCAGCTGAGTCTCCTCGCCACCTGCACACTCTCCCTGCTGCTTGTTTATGAAGATGAGAAGCATTTTGATATAAAACTGTGTCATAGTCTGAGGAAGCTCCACACTCATCTGATGCTTAAGGAGCAAATACTCCAAACAGATGCACACAACATAACACAGAGCAGGGATAAGGCACATGTTGAGGAGCTTGTTGTTGCTCTTCAGGTGAGCAATGGCTTGTTCTTTGAATGAATGCTGATGAAAATAGCGGCTGACATATTCCTCAACCTTCTCATGGTCAAATCCCCAAATTTCTGCTAGCAGATCTACTGTGTTTAATAAGAAGTCAGGTAGTCTCTTAGGTCGGCTGGTGACCAACACTGTGCAACCAGGCAGGAGCTTCCCATGACAGAGGCCTGCAAAGAGCTCAAATACGGACATATGGGAGGTAAGAGTTGGGCCTCCCTTAGAAGAAGATGAAACGTCCATGTCAGCTGCAAACTCATCCAGCCCATCAAAGATGATCAGTGTACGCCAGGCATTTTCCAGGAGGTACTGGAACACTGCATCAGGGCTGTCTTCTGGCTGAAGGAACAGGTCAAACAAAAGCTCCTTCAGAGTCAAGTTTCTTTTCAATAAATTCAGCTGCCGAAACTCAAACAGGAAAGTGAAGAGAAACTGAGGTAAGACACCTTCTGCCCATTTCTGACAAATCCTGTGCATTAGCATGGTCTTGCCTGTGCCTGGTTTACCAAACAAAAAGATCACCTTTGTCGTGCCCGATGGGACCACACTACGAAACAGATCTGACACTTGCATGGCTGTATCCGCACATTCTTCTGGTTCAGGAGCACCTGCCACATCCTCTTGGGGTTTACCTGTTCTCTCTTTTAAGCGGAAGGCTTTGCTCTGCCGAATGACAAGGTTGACAAAGGCTTGGTTGAAAGCCAGTGGCTCTGTTTGTTCCTGTGCTGCTGCTCCTGCTGCTCTCCTACTTCCATACCTCTGGCGGATATAATCGATGAGAAGATGCCGGTACTTTTCAGCCGGATCTGAGAGAAAAGACAACAGAGTGAGTATGAGGGTGAAAAAGTTAGTTCTGAGCCATGACAGATCCAAAATACTACCACTTATACACAGAGAAACGCTGGCCCGGATCAGAGGCTGCTCCAGAGAGCTAGGTAGAGATGACAAATTTTGAATACATGAAAATAACCCATAATTTTTCCTATTTTTGCACAGGAGCTGAAGAAGAAGAAAATTCAGGGAAAAGGTGAAACAGCTTTACATAAAAACTAAATCTTATTATCTCTTTAAGATGAGAATTAGGTATTGGTGTATTATGCATATAATTCCCTGCTCACTAGCTCCCTGTTCACCCATGCTGGCCTTGTGCCACCCTTGCTCAGCTATCTGCACCTGCGAACAGACATATCTTTTGCTTTGAGAATTTGAGATCCCCGATGGTATCAGCATCTCTTTGTTGAAGAGAGAACAGTGGTGATAATTAAGGGCACTCAGCACCTTCTGAAAAACCCCATCCTCACTGCTGTTAAGTTTGCTGAGTTTTGTCAGCCTGGGAGCACCTCCTTAAAAACTTTTCTGTATGCAAACTTTCAGTTGAAAACTGGTCCCAGCCCCACTGCAGCTGCCAGCTTTGCCATGCTCCCCGTGTTCCCCCACCAGACACTGGACAGCGCTGGACCATGGGGATTGCAAGGCTAAAAGCAGAGGTAGAAAAGGGTAGAGAACGGTAGATGATGAAGGAAAGGATGTGGACACTGGTGTTATTCAGCCCGCAGGTCTGCTCAGGCTACCCAGTCTTTCCTGGAATTACTCTGCCTCAAATTTGTCATCACTTATCTATTCAGTTACTTCTCTACTTTAGGGTGAGCTGAAATCGTACGAGTTTTTAATGTGCTAGAGACACTGTAGAGCCTTAGTGGGTTTTAAATTGTCAGTATGTCTCCTGATTTGGTTAAAAAAAAAAAACGAAACAAATACAGGGATGACCTACAACTGAATGCTTTACCGGCACATCATACTTTAAGGGAGTTCTTAGCCTATGTCATCTGCATCCCTTCTCCTCAGGTAGATTTAATATATCTCTGAAATGGAAATGGATGTTTCTTGTTATTTTCCAGGTCCTGTTGTCTGCATATTTTATAACCTGTTGCATTAGGAGTTTATGCAGCTACTAAACAAAAGTTTCCCTCAATGCAGGAGGTTGATTTCTTGGGTGTTTCTGCAAAAAAGTTAAATAGGTTCTTCCTCAGAGGAAAGCACACCACCACTCTGCTTCTGGAACATCTACATACCTAGTCGCTGCTTTTTAACGTCCTCATCGCTCACAGAGCTGCTGCAACGGTGGCGGCGACCACACCCTGAAAATTGAAAATCAGAAATGTGTCAAAAGAGCATTTTGAATGACAGCTTGTTAGAGCTGGGCAAGACTTTCCAGCAAAGCATTTGGGGACCTGAAGAGGCAAAATTGGGAGAGACAAAACTATTTGCAAATTCAGGCTGAGTTTACAGAACTGCTTTTGCAAATGTTGAAGTAAAAGCAGAGGTGCAGAGGTGCAGAGGTGCATCTAGCTATAGAAAGACAGCTTGGGCTGCTCCTCGTGAGGCTAATCCATCCTCTTGTCCCACTCCAAATACGCTACAGCTCTCAGGAGTGACCTAGGAGTCTGGACTGGTTTAAAGACCTTCAGTAAGGGAGCTCCCTGAACTTCTCCAGGCAATTCATTCCAACACTTCAGTTTATTTATATAGATTTTCCTAGTGGAAATCTAGGCATCAATCTTGCCTGCCACAGTGTGATCTGCTACTTCCTTGTTCTATCCACTTGAGCGTTTTTGCAGAGAAGTCAAGCAGGTCCTTCCTCCTCCTTGGGACACATGATCAGCTATTCAACATTCAACAATGATTCAACATTTATCTGATCTTGGAAAATGACTTTGCGCTTCACAGAGCTGTTAATATCCAAATCTTACTGTTCTCAGCCAACAGCAGCTGGGATATCAGAAATAGGGAGGTACAAGCTGCTGGTGGAAGCCTGGCTTTGAAAATCTTTGCAGGAAAAAAATGTGAATTTTTAAAAGGCATGTTTTGCAAGAAATGTGTTAGGTTTAGCAAGTGATGCTCAGAACCTTTTGCTTAATCCCCTCATTTGCTTAGAAGCACAGTGCTAAGTAGTGCCAGAACCTTAGCAAAAAAAATCTTAACAGCTCATGAAAAAGCATCCTAGGAAATTACCCTCCTGGCAGCACAGCTGCTGGCAAAAAAAAAAAAATGACGTACGTGCAATTCTGGGTTTGGAGGAGTATACAGAAGTAGAGAGAGCATTAAGGGCTACAGACAGCCTAATCCAAGACTTAGACCACAAGCACTGCGAAGTTATGTAGGGCATGGAGAAAGTGGTTCTGAGTGTCTGAAAGAAGCCTGGCAGATTTGAGACAGAGATAAACCAAATAGCAGTACCACATATCCCAGCTACACGCTGTAGCAAAGCCCACAGCCCAATTTCTTGCAATTGTTCTCCACTCCTCCTTAGGATTTATGTCCACCCAAAGCAGGATAAACCCATGTGATGGACCTGAAAGAAAGCAGGAGCAGGTGAAAGGGTTAAAGCCAAGATAGACAAAGCCACTGCATCAAAATGCCTCCTGAAAGAATTAAAGCCTAGGGGCAAGGAAGATATTTTAAATATCTTAGTCACTTAGCTAAACAAAAGAAAGGCCTTTGTGATTTAGAGAGTAGTTAGAATGGTTGTAAGATAAGGGGGCTCCAGGATAATCCCATCTCAGACAACTGGGCCTTGGGAGAACAAATGCAGGGAAGATAAGAAAGTTGCAAGGGGATGACAACAGCAGCCTTGAAGGACGTGGTCCCAGAACTGAAGCAAAGGTCAATCAGCGAACACAGTGAAGAAGACTATGAGCCTTTATGTGAAGACCCCGAGGACCACTCAAAGACCACCAAGGAAGACGACTGCACATGCGGATTGTGCATTTGCGTATGTTAATAAGTTCCAGGAAATATCATGTTTATGTAAATGATTTCTCGGAAATCCTGTGAATATGTACGACTTTATAGTATATAATCTCTGAAAGTCTACCAAATCAGTGGAGCACTTATGGTGGAGAATCCCCAGTGCTGGCCAGGGCTGCAATAAAATGCCTGCTTAATAACACTGTTGTTATTGAGTTTCATTACATCGGTTTCCTTACCCAACTACACCTAGCTTCCCACCTCGGTGAGGAAATATAGAAAGCAAGGGGGTTCGGAGAACACCAATCTTTGTATCAGTTTTGGCGAACCAGATGGGACCCTCTCTGACCGGCTGCAGGAACCCCTGAGTAGGAGACTCCCTTGGCCCCGGAGACTTTTCTGGAGGGACTCCTCAATTCGGCGGATCCAGGCAGGGACAGACAAGGACCACTGGTAAGAAAGGCATTTTATTTTGTTTTCGGACTGGTCATTTGAAGCTGCTCAGAAGTCGCGGTTCGTGCGAACCCTGCCAGGTGGCATACATTTGCATGTATGATTTGTATTGATCATCTGGTTAGTACGGTCATTTGTTTGTGCATCTGTATCTAATTTTGGTTTACATATACGCATCTGATATACATATATGTCTGATATACACGTATTTGAAAATCTTTGATTACATTGACATTTATTATCTGGGAGTAGCAGCTGTTGTTGTGTTTATAATGTTGTTGTGTTTATAATAATTGTCAGTTGTGTGTAAGTGTTTGAGTTTTAGTCCCTGTCCTTGTGTTTTATAAATTCCAAAATGGGAAACCAAAGGGGCTCTGAAAAACAGCTCTTTGGGCTGCATTTTGGCTCACTGGAAAGATATTGGGGGACCACCCGGAGGAAGTGTGAATCGTAAAACTTTGACAAAATATTGCAATCAGTGGTGGCCATTATATAAGTTGGATGATGGAGGAAAATGGCCTTTTAACGGAACTCTGAATTATAATACTTTGTTACAACTTATGCTATTCTTAAGACGAGAAGGAAAATGGGATGAAGTGGTTTATGAGAATATGTTTTTCACTCTGCAGAATCACCCTGAGTGGCAAAAAAGGAATGTGGAGTTAATTTAGCACACCAGGACCCTACAGTCCTGGCGATAGAAAAAGAGAAAAATAAGCAAAACAACAAGTTAAAAAGACGTTGCTCAGCTTGCAGCATTGGACAAAGACGTTTAAAGGCTGGTTCACAGAATGAGAGATTAGAAGATTGTTTGCCTCCACCAGAAAGAGAAGGTGATAGAGAAGCAGATGCTGGTGCTGTAGGGAGTGAAGGACCGGAGGCAAGGGAAAGGGAAGAAAATTATATTGGATTTTTCCCCAATTCTGCTAGAACTCGAAGTAAGGTGGGACCTATTATACAGGCTCCACTAAGGCAGGCAATGGGGACGGGAGGACCTGTCAGGATTAAAGTACCTTTCACTCTAGCAGATTTAGATGGTTGGTGAATTACTGCAGGGAATTACAGGGATGATCCTGAGAAGGTAGCTAAAGGATTTGAATTGATTGTGAAAACTCAGGACCCTGAGTGGGAGGATGTGGATGCAATGTTGGATGCGGTGTTTAGTGAGTCAGAGAAACAGATGGTTGTGAGAGCGGCCAGAGCACAGGTACAGGCTCTGATTCTGGCTGGGGCTTTGCCAGGAACAGTTGATAACCATGTTCCAATTACCAGTCCCGGTTGGGACCCTAACCAGACGGGAGCCCAGGACCTATTAGTGCGGTATAGGGAATGGATTGCTTATGGAATAAAAAATGTTGTCCCAGAATCAGTAAATTGGTCCAAATTGTATGAGATCAAACAAGATAAAAAAGAATCCCCTACTGATTTTCTGAACCGAATAAAGGAAGGAATGTGGAAATACACTCCTTTGGACCCTACCTCCCAGGAGGGAAAGGGTCAGTTGATATTCTTGCTTTTGGGACAATCAGCGGATGATATCAGGAGAAAGTTACAGAAAGTGCAAGGAACAGATGCAAGAGATTTAGAGAAATTGCTGGAGATTGCATGGCAAGTATATCAGAATAGAGAGAATAATGGGCAAAGCAACTGCCAATGCTACAGTGGCTGCTTTGCGCACCGCGGGCGGGCAAGTACCCTCTCGGAACCCATCAGGAAACAGCGCTAATGGAGGGAGAGGAGCCGTGAGAAGCAGTGTAAGTGCCCCACCTAAAGGAAATCAACCTCTCCTGAAGGATCAGTGTGCTTATTGTAAGCAAATGGAGCATTGGAAAAAGGATTGCCCGAGATTGGGCAAGTCGGTGATGGTTACTGACGTTGAAGCTAATTGACGGGAACCAGGGGAATCTTCCCTAGCGGAACCCTTGGTAAAAATTCAGCTAGGGAAAG